AGCCTATCAATAAATTGTCCGAATGGTTCAGTGGCTCCTTGCTTTATGGTGGCATAGGATGCTGACTTTTTCTTGTCTGGTACCAAAAGCAAAGCTTGATGGGCCAATTGCTGTGACAATTTATGTATTTCAACAGGAAAGGTAAGTTGTACCTGATTGGTTGCATATGGTCCTTGCCCAGTCAGCATATCTGGCTGGACTCCAAAAAAGGGGTCTCCCACATTTGTGTGTTTGTTGGCCTCTTCAATTGCCAACCGCCTCCATTCCCTTTCAAATATGAAAATTGGGAAGGTGTCAGGAGCAGGGATGCAATGTTAGATGAATCACCAGGACAAAGCACATCTGCTGTGAATATATACTGAATGATGTTCCTGGCTGCTTCTGATCTGATCCCATAAGTGGTGACTGTCTGCTTAGCTGATTGTAGGATTTTCCAGTCATGGGGCTCCCAGATGGCATTCCCATTAGACACTATAACAGGACAAGCCAGGGAGCTGACCGCCTTCCAGTCACCGTCCAAAAGAGCATCCTTCACAACTGATGCCCATCGGGACTGCAATGGATTTTTTAAAACTGCTGGCGATGCCAATTGCTGGCCAGTGGAAGGTTCCACTGCTTGAGCCTGACGATTCAAAAGGGTGGCAAGGCGGGCTATTTTTTTCTGTAACATATTTGGTCTTTGTATCTTGTTCTGTGATCGCTTGTCCCTGCTGCAATTGACAACAGAAAGGTCTGGTTCTGAGTCGTCAGAATCTGAACTCGGTGGGAGGGGGCAGCGTAGAGCTATCGTGGTGGAGTGAGAACTGGCATTTTCAGGGCTCTGCTCTGGTGTTGTTTGGGTGGCTGCTTCTGCCATTTCGCTAGCATTGGGGTGCCCAGCCCCTCCAACTCGCGCCGGGTTGTTTGCCGCTGCCGCCGCCGGTGGGTACCGGCGAGCCGCTCCTCTGCGTCTGCACGCACCCGCGGCAGCCGCCGCCGCTGCCGCTGTGGGGGGGCGAGGGGCCAGCGCCGCCTCGCTCCCTTCTCCGCCCTGGTCTCTGCCTTGATCTCCGCCCCTGAGTTCCTCCTCCTGACTCAGCCCTGTTTCGTCACCAACTCCGCCTGCCTCCTCAGGTGTCTCCCTGCCTCCCGAGGGACCCGGGAGGGCCACTTCCTGGTCTGCCTCATTCCGCGGAACCGCCGAGCTGTTAACATCCGCCGCTTGCGAGCACACTTCCGCTCCGGGCGCGGCCACATTTTTGCTTTGTCTCGCGCCGGCCGGCCCTGCGCCGCCTGGCTCTGTGCTTCCCTCCAAACGAGCAACAACATCCCTGACAGAGGGACTGACTGGAGCTTTCTGCCCTCGCACTGGCCGCATATTACAAACATTAAAAAATTTTTCAACCCGAGATGGCTTTTGAGCTTCTATCTGTTCTGATGTGGATTGCTCAAATGCCTGAATTGCAGCTTCTGCTGCTTTTTTCTCCGCGGCCATGCTCTGTAAGGTATGTAAAACTTTTTTCCAAACGCCTCCGAGCTCCAATAGTGTTTTCTTGTCTTTTCTGCCCTCTATCACTGCATCCCAAAGCAGCTGCCCCAACTCTTGCCATTCGGTTTCACTAAAAATCAGCAAAGGTTTTTGCAGCTTGCCTTTGCTTCTTGCCCAAAGGACCAACTGTTCTAAATCGGCTTCTTTAACTTTTTCAGCTCTCTTTGAGAGAATATGAAAGAGAAGCCGCACTGAAGCCTGCAGATCCCCATCCATGGTGAACTTTCACCCTCTCTTTCTGTCCGCGGCTTACCTCCAAACCTCCGCGGGTTGCTTCGCTCTCGCTTTTCTTCGGCAAGGCAGCAACTCCGCTCCAGCTTCCCGGCCCCGGCCACGTCCACACCCACCGTTCGGGTCCTTTGTGAACGCCGAGGTCTTCCCACTGCTCCACGGACTCTCGCAAACAAACAACAATGCGAAGAGTCTTTTTCCTCCCGTTGGGAAACTGCCCAATTCGGAGTTTGGAGACTTCTGCTCCGTTCCACTTGATCCCCGTTCACAAAAAGTGAATTTGGGATCCCGGTCCCGTCACCATGAGGCGATTTGGACCTGAATTTTCGTCGCGCGACTCAAACCCGACTGCCCGTTACTCTAAAAGTAATTTGGCAGCCTTTTCGGAGCCTCCTGAGTCCCTGTTCGGGCGCCACTTAAAGCCAGGGAATCTCAGAAAAACGGAAAGCTGGACAAGACAAACGCACATCCAACCAATATGATTAATGCAACGTTCTCCGTTTATTCAAGATAAGGCGGAAGTTTATATAAGCTTCCACATAGTTTACAGAAACAAAGACACTCTGATTGGTAGGCTAACATTGTTTACCTTTTCCTTAAAACGGCCTACACTTTACACCATAAAACCTATACTAATTCACACCCAGACAACCCAGTGGTCCCCACAACACCTTAAGACTATTTCTATCTGCGCCACAAGCTCTGAATTTCTAACTGCGTCAGAGGCTTTGAAGGCCCCACCAGGCCTCAATCTGAGGCCTAGACTGGAGTAGCTCAACTTTCACAATTCATGTCCTCTTTCTCTCAAAAATGCTGCAACACTGTCCAGACAGGTTACCTACCCAAAACCCCCAAAACACCTACCAAAGACCCCAGAACCAGCAGCGCTACCAGCAGTGTTTGGGAAACTCCCAGTGGAGCGCGGCCAGGCCCCGCACAAAGACAACAAATCAAAAGCCATCCAGACCCAACCATGCATCATCCCAGGAGATTCCAGGCCACCTGGAGAGGATCCAACCCACGGAGGGACACAGATGGGAACACGACGCCAGTTGGTAACTGCTTTGTCCATTGACTTTAATGATAAGGATGTTTATCGTGTTCCCACAGGAAAGCATGGGCCAAAAGGGGCTTTTTTTTGACATTTTAATTATAGGTGACACTCTCCATGGCCCAGAGGAAATCTTTGTTGTTCCAAAAGTACAAACAGTGCACCCAGGACAAGAAATCTCAGTCCAGCTGTGCTGCACAGACTCACAATTTTTCCTTTCATGAGGAATTCTGATCGCACAAGCCTTTCTACTCCCAAAGAATCACAGGGAACAGCTTCCTCTCAACCCTACAGAATGTGGGCACAAATTGTGGGACCAAGTAAGCCTAATAGCGAGTGTGGTCTATGCTACAGAGGAGAGAAGATCCACCTCCCAGGGATGCTGGACACTGGTGTGGATGTGACCATCATCGCTCACTCGGAATGGCCGACACAGTGGGAACTACAACTGGTGCAATTACACCGCTCAGGTGATCTCTGCATCCTCTCTCCACCCCAAAGTATTACCCAAGGGAACGTTTCTCATCTGTGGTAACCGACTATGGGATGGGAACCCCTTGCAGCTCCAGGGAGGTCCTTGTAGCCTTGGAAAACTTTCTACCCTTACTCCAAATATCACCTTGTTATGTAATTGGAAAAAAGAAAGCAAATTAAAACACTACAAAAGATCCTACACAGAATTTGATGAAAATTCCAATCCAAAATTATACGATGGAACAAACCAAAAAAGATTGCAGTCTCCCTCTTCCTACCCTGGGTAGCTGCAGCCCTTGGTGAAATAAATCACTTAGGGTGCTGGCTCAGCAAGCAAGCCAATGCTACCTCTGCCACCCTAAGTGATCTTTTAAAGGAAGAAGAAACCACGAGACTTCCTACTGCTAGCCCACGGACATGGCTGCCAAGACTTTGAAGGGATGCGTTGCATCAATCTCCCTTCACGCTCAGAATCCATCCACGCAAACATCCAGAAACTGAAGGAACTTGTGAAGGACTTAAAAGTAGAAAGCAACCCAGACTGGGTCAATGACCTTTTTGGTCAGAGGGGATTAATGGGATAGGGTACATCTTTGGCTAAGGGAATTTTGTGGATTTTCATTCTAATTGTGATTTTGTTAGCTATGTTCTCATGCCTTGTCCACTGTTTTAAAAGAACTATAGGGCACGCCTTTTTACTAAATACAGAAAGTGGAGTTGCAGCAGTCAGAGGCCCTGCAAGGCCTCCCTGGCGGTCCTCACCTAAGATAAGAAATGCCTAAGTCACGGTGATGGGACCAAAGAAGCCCCTCTTCTGCATTCAGACCCTTCTTATCTCTCTGTAATAAGGCTATTGGTCGTATTCTTCTCAACTCTGGCGACTGGACAATTTCCAACACCCCAGTACCCCATATAAAGGCCCATTTCTGCCCAGTTCAGCAGAAGAACTGTCACTGCATCCCTTCAGAGGAGCTGGCAATAAAGGACATCGCTGTGGAACCACATACAGCCTTTTCCTCTCTCTATCCCTGTGTGTCTGCAGGAGGCACTTGTGAGCACAGAGCGAAATCACCAAGAGCTGAACTCACAGAGCTGAAATCACTCCAGAGGTGCTCGCTAAGTTGCCTGTGGCTGGGAGCTGAGCCCAGGGACCCAGACAGGCTGAGCCTGACAGCGCAGCGCTATCCGGACACCCACGGCAGCGGCAGCCCGGGGGTCAGATGGACCCCTGGGACCCCAGGCTGCATTAACCAGGAGTGACTGGGATCACAGAGGAACCATAAAGGAAGTTACTGCAATAATACTGGGACTATCTGGGAGTGACTGGAATCATACTGGGAGTGACTGGAATCATACTGGGTGACTTGGAGTGACTGGGACCTTACTGGGGGCAAATGGTACTGTAATGAGAGTGACTGGGTTCATACTGGGATCATACTGGGAAGGACTGGAACCATACTGGGAGTGCCTGGAACTATTATAGGGGTGAATGGGAACACCTGGGAACATGCTGGGATCATGCTGGGATCACACTGGGAGTGACCGGGATGATACTGGGATCACACTGAGTGTAACTGGAAGTGAGTGGGACCATACTGGGGGTGACTGGGAGCCACAGGGCCCATGCTGGGAGTGGCCTGGGGGGAGCTGGGGGAACTGGCCCAGCTGGGGCTCAGGGTTGTTCTCCCCCAGGGCTGCCCCAGGTCCTGCTGCCACACCTGGCCCCACAGAGCTGAGGGACAGGGCACAGCTGAGGGACAGGGCACAGCCAGGGAACACGGCCTGGCCGAGGGACACTGAGCCCCAGCACTTTGGGCTGTTGCCCTTGGGCTCCCAGCACAGGCCCAGGGGCAGAATCCCCTCCAGAAACTGCTGTTTGCTTTCAGCTCTGCTCTGGAACATTCCCCAGGAGCCCCTGCAGTGGCTGCAGCCCAGCCGGGTGCCCGGGGCCACCAAAGCCACTCCGGCAGTGCCCTCCTGCCCTGGGCAGGGCACGGAACACCCAAGGAAAGGCTCGTGCTGGGCTCAGGGCAGGGACAGGGCACTCCCCTGGTGCAGCTACGGGCACAGCAGAGCCGGCCTGGGCAAAGGATTGGGATCAATGTCCCATGGAATCCCAGCAGGGATTACTTCTCATTGCACTGCTCTCATTGGATTGGTTATCAATTCCAATCATTTCCCCATGGAATTCCCATGGCAGTGGGTTAGGGAGTAGGTCCATCCATGGAATTCTCAGCTGACTGGGATGAGAGTGAGATCTGGCCATGGAAATTCCATGGCAATTCCTGCATTCCCAAGTCCCCCATTCCTGAGTCCCCCATTCCCATAGGAATTGCCCTTCCCCTCCTACACCCACCTTTGTGCTCCAGAGCCTCCCGACCATATCTGATGTATTTTGGGGGCCTTTCCACACAGGTGTGTCCCAGGTAATGCTTCATCTGCTCCACCATGATCCCTCTGGATTCCCAGCACCTCTGGGATATCCAGAGAGCACCGCTGGACACTGCAAAGCTCCTGGATCCCAGCTGGAAGGAGATGAAATCCCAGCCCTCATAGCCGTACTGGTGGGATCCATGGACGCTCTGTTGGACAGGAGGTCACAGCTGGAAACCCCCTGCACTGTGTGGAGACCTGGGAACGAGGAGAGAACGGACCCATGGAGTCGTGTCCCAGCCCCTGGGAGCCCCTTGGAGCTCCCTGGATTCCCATCCCAGCCCCACAGATCCCTCCCATCCCCAGAGATCCCATCCCAGCCCCTCAGAGTCCTCCATTCCCACAGATCCCAGCCCAGCCCCCGGCTCCCCCCACTGCCCCTGCTCTGGTTGTACCGGCCCCGTCTCCAGGTCACTGTCAGCCACGGGCCGGTTCCTGTCCTTGAGCAGGGTCTGGCTGTCCCAAAATCCCAGCTCTGGCTGTCCCAATATCCCAGCTCTGGCTATCCCAATATCCCAGCTCTGGCTGTCCCAATATCCCAGCTCTGGCTATCCCAATATCCCAGCTCTGGCTATCCCAATATCCCAGCTCTGGCTATCCCAATATCCCAGCTCTGGCTGTCCCAATATCCCAGCTCTGGCTATCCCAATGTCCCAGCTCTGGCTATCCCAATATCCCAGTTCTGGCTATCCCAATGTCCCAGCTCTGGCTATCCCAATATCCCAGCTCTGGCTATCCCAATATCCCAGTTCTGGCTATCCCAATATCCCAGCTCTGGCTATCCCAATATCCCAGCTCTGGCTGTCCCAATATCCCAGCTCAGCTCCCGCCCCCATCCCCGGTGTCTGTGCCTCCATCCGGCCCCGCTCGCTGCCGCAGCGCTCGCAGGGGGTCCCGTCCACGTCCCCCACAATCAAGGACTGGGGGACCCCCGGGCCAGGCTCTGACAGCGCCACTTCCAGGAACTGCAGGGAGTGGAAAACTGGGGGGACACAAAGATTTGGGGGAGCTGAGGGGGCTGAGAGTTTGGGGATCCAGGGGGGTCCACAGGCCAAGGAAAGGGGGGACATGAAGAGCTGGCAAAGCTGGGAAGGAGGTTCAGGGGCTGAGAGCCAAGGAAAGGGGGTGCAGGGACTGGGAGAGCTGGGATGGGGTGTCCAGGGAATCCTGTGCCCAGGAAAGGGGGTGCCAGGGCTCCTGAGTGTAAGGAAAGGAGGGGCTGGGGGCTGGGAAAGGCAGGAATGGGGGCCCAGGGGTCCCAGGTCAGGGAAAAGGGTGGGACTGGGGGTTGGGAGAGGCGGGGGCTGGGAACAGGTTGTGTTGGTGCCGGATAAGGGGGTGCAGGGGGGTCTCAGTGCTGGGCAAAGGGGTAAAAGGGTGTCTTGGTTCTCAGGAATGGGGGCGCAGGGGGGTCTCAGGGTCACGGAAATGGGGGGGCAGGGATGGAGAGGTAGAAGGGAGTTCCAGGGGTCCTTGAGCCCAGGAAAGGGGAGTCCAGGGTTTCCCAAAAAGGGGTACCAGGGTGGGGACACCCGGGGTGTTTGGGAAGGGGGAGTTCAGAGGGTCTCTGGTTTTGCACAAAGGTGGGGCTGGGGGCTGGGAAAGGCAGCAATGGGGGTCCAAGGTGTTCCAAGGCGTTCCAGGATCAGGCACACGGGAAATCTAGAGGCTGGGAGCAGGGAAAAGGGGAGCAGAGGGCCCTGATGTCCGGAAATGGGGGATTCAGGGGGGTCCCTGTGCAGGATAAGGGGAGCAGGGGGGTCCCGGTGCCGGCAATGGCGATTCAGGGTCCCGGTGCCCGGGGTCCCACTCCCCCCTCGCCCGCCAGGAGCGCCCCCAGCCCCAGCGCTGGAGCCACCGCGCTGCTCCTCCTCACTCCCAGTATGATCCCAGTAGGATCAGTCACCCAGGAGCTGCTCCCAGTATGATCCCAGTACAGCCCAGTCACTCCTGGCATCCCCCCACCCCTCTCTGCGTTCCGACCTGTCCCGGCTCCATCCCCGCCCCTCCCGCGGCTGCGGGGAGGAGGAGGAGGAGGGAGGAAGAGGCGGAGCGGCAGCGGGAGCAGCAGGAGGAGCGGGGAGGATGAACCGCGGGGCTCCGGCTCTGCCTGAACTCGCAGCACCCCGGGAGCGTCGCCCCCATCCCGCAGGTGCCCGGGCAGGGGGAGCTGGCCCCAAATATCCCGGGGCTCCCTGGGTTTGGGGTTTTTGGGGGGATGTATGGAGCTGGCGGGGCTCCAAGGCCGAGCCGCAGCTGCCCTCGGGGGGACATCGGGGGTCCCCGGGAGGTGTTTTTGGGGGGTCCCGGTGCGGGTGGCGGCAGAGCCCCGGCGGGGCCGGGGGGATGCGGGTCCCCCCGCGGTGCGGGTTGGGCTTCCCGGCCGGGCCCTCCGAGCTCTGCCGGGGCCGCGTGGGGACCCCGGATTTGGGGAGCCCCGGGAGAGCCGCGGCTTCCCTGGGCGGGAGCGCAGAGAGAGGAGAGCCCCAGGAGCCCCAGCGGGGACCCCGAGAGGGGGGACCCCTGGCAGTGAAGTTTTCACAACATTCTCCATTTGCTGTTTCCCTTTGCAGCCTCAGCCATTTCTGTTTCAGAGTCAGATCCTCACCATGGGCTCTGCCTTCAGCTGTGCAGATTCCATCTGTGCAAGCAGGCAGAGCTTGGGGTGAGGGGCAGAGGGAATCAGCCAATTCCTGCCCCAGGCAAGAAGAGCCAGGTACATTGTCCCCCCTTTGCCCCAGCAGTGTTAATTTGCATTTCTAAAGCTCCTCGTGGGTGCCTGGAATGCAGCTTCTCTTCCAGAGCAGCTTCAGCAGCCTCACATGTGGCCCCCCCACAACCTGCTGATTTTTTTTTTCCTTCAGATCATCTGTTTACTGTTTATGGGTAAAAGGGTCACACTTAAATCTCTTCTAGTTTTACGAAGTGCAGCCTAAAGGTGAACGTTGAAAAATGCAGACCAAAATTTTGGTATCTCTAAGAGCCACATAAAACACAGACAAAAAAAATTCCAAAGCAATTCACTTTCTTCTCTTTCTCCTCGGAGTAAAAACTCATTCTCACATCCCTGACCAAACCCAACCGGCAATATAGAAGTAGGATTATTACAAAAAATACTCCAATGCTATAAACTTTGCACTGAAACTGCAGGAAAAAAGAAAAACTCTACCACTATGTTTAGTGGAAGAGTCAAGGCATTCCTTA